ATCAAGACATAAAATGTCAAAGTTCACCATCGTATGTTGAGTATACGCATATGTATATAATAACCTGAAACATGTTAGAACACAGAACAGGATAAATATAATTTGTAAGATATTACCAAAACATTTCATACAAAAGAAAGTCATTCGCAATGAACTGATGACATAGTGATCATTCCAAACCATCATACACTATAACATGTATATGTTTACATTGAAGTAAATCGAACGACACCTTATTATTTGTAGTGCCACTCCGATGATTCTTCCTGCTGTTCACATTCTCCTTGACGATAATGCGTTGCTCATCTCAACGAAATGCTGTTATCCTCTCAAAGACGCGCCATTCAAAACTCGCTGTTCACCAATCATGACAAGTACACTCGCCGTACACAACTCGCTGTTCACCACTTACGACGAGTATACGCGCCGTTCACAACTCGCTGTTAATGCACCGTACTTGTAGTGCAATTTAAAGGACGCGCCGTTCACAAGTTAAAACTCAATGTTTGTTAACGCGCCGTACTTGTAGCACGATTTAAAGGACGCGCCGTTCACAAGTTAAAACTCAATGTTTGTTAACGCGCCGTACTTGTAGCGCAATTTAAAGGACGCGCAGTTCACAAGTTAAAACTCAATGTTCAAACACACTTGGCGTATTCGTGACTCGCGTGTGAATCCTAAAAATTCCTGTAAAGAGTAGAAATGCATTTCAATTTGAACTTTTATATCCTACACATGATTGTAAGGAATGCTTTCAGAAATGATCATCATGTACATTCATTTTCTAAGTAATTCCCCACGATATGAAAACGATTGAAAATATCCAATAAAAAAAATGCACCATGACTTTCACAAATATAAAAACAATTTCAGCTCAGTGACTCGGTAACAAAAAAATTATTTAAATATTTAAAAAAATGCAAAACGATTTTTAATAATTTTTGGGAAGTTAGTCATCATCAGATGAAGAATCTGTCAAATTTTTTTTAGCCTTATCTGAAAAAGACTCCTGAACATGTCCGCCAAATAGATTTGGCCAAATATTGTGACGTTTGTAATAAACATCATTCAGCCACACTCTGAAGCTCTGAAATTCTTCGGAAACACAATCCATTTCTTGCATGTAATGCCCAATGATTGTCCTCATTTGTTTCTCGTAGCACGTCTTTATCTGCAAAAAGCCAGAATTGTATGTATTATTATTTTCTATGCAATTCCCTTAACATTCTGCCCACTAACCCATTTCTTGAACGTCACAATGCCAATGTTCGGTTTTGTTGAAAATGAGGAGGCATCTTTCTTGATGATGTCTTTCATCACGTCATTCAATTTTTTGTCTCTTAAATTTGCTAGCTTCCAGACCTCGTCGGTTAGTATAGAACGCATTAAACCAGGAACAAACGGTGACCCTGTGATTCATATTTTGAATTTCAATTAGGATGAAGCCCACTTCTTAATTACATACATGAGCGTATAAAACATAACATTTATACTAACTTTTGCCATCTGGTGATAGTGAAAACATGCAGTCAAAACAGAAGTTTACGAATGGACTTTCTTGCAATTCTTTGTTTTGAACATCCTTGTCATCACTGGAACTGGCAGATGTACTTCTATTCTTCTTGGCAGATGAGGTGCCTGAATACGTGCCGTACTTTAAAATTGCACCGCATGAATCAGCTGGAAAGAGTGATCTTGCAAGGATGTTGTAGAAAATGCCCTTCCCAATAATTTCATTAGGGGCCTGTAACATAGTTGAAGGACATGTGTATTACATCAAAAGTCTGTGTTAAACAGAGTATGATTTTTGTTTTATGCACATACCATCTTTTTCTTTTCTTCAGGAGTTTCAGCTATTGATGCAAGAGTACAGCAGGCAAGGTTCTCGCAGTATTTTCTCATCCGTTGGATAAGACAGTAAAGGTCATCCAGTCGAATGAAGAGTCCAACATCAGTTCCGTCTTGACTAGGCGCACAAGCAATCATGACGCATGGAGTTAATTCCATTTCCTAAAAAAATTATGACTTTTGTATATTGCTATACAAATTGTAAGTAACGGTGAAAAGTTACTGATTAGCTTTATGTCCGAAACTGAAGAAAACACTAACATATGAAATAATGTGTACTAGTCGCACACTAGAAATAGCAATGTGTAAATACCACCAGCGCGTAAATTCCGAATATACAATGCGCTGTTCTTGCTTACGACGAGCTTATAATATTTCAAATATACCCTGCGCTGTTCTTAATTTCAAGGCGCTTATAACATTTCACACATATACTGCGCTGTTCTTACTTACGAAACGCGCACACGCGCTGAATACAGTAACAGCGCATCAAGCACAACACCAGCTACATACTTGTTTAACATTCACAGAAAATTCATTTCGAAAGTGTGTAGTAAAGTATTACTCACCTTGCCAATTGCTATGGAAACCTTTTCTTCATTGCTGATGTCCTCCACCCACAGGCTTCCTTGGTATGTGTACTTTGGGAACTGCAACTGTGTAGACTTGAATGCCCCAGGAACGCACCTCATAGGGATAATCCAGGATGATAGGCGGGCTTTATTGTGTTCTAATCGCAGCCATGAGGTGCAGCCAACATCAAAAATGCATGATGATGTTTTCGTCCTCCACTCATTGTTTACTCCTGAAGAAGGTGTAAAATTCAATGAATGGTTTAATACAAGAAAGTGGAATGAAGAGTATGTACACATTTCTTTTGTATACCAACCATTAAAGTCTGGAGCTTTCCCCTTCATGAAATCATGCAGTTTGTAGTGTCCTTTCAAAGCCCACTGCATGAACCGTGCAAATTGTACAACTGATGCAGGAGACTTCCTTAACTTGCATTGAGGTGGTGGACTTGTAGAATTCCCTATTAAGTTATGAAATAAATAAATATTACAACAGTGAAATGTTTAACTCAACACAAGGGAACAACTTTGTAAAAAAAAAATTGTTTCAAAATGTTCAACATTTACCTTCATCATCAACTTCTGCAAACCTGCCATACAGGCTTGCAACAGGGCCAAGTGTCTTCTTATCATGCTTCGGTGTTTTCTTGGGAGGACACTTGTTTTTTCGGACGCATTTCCTTTTTTTGACTGTAGCATTTGTACTTTTCTGTAATTTAGGCAAAATTTGTAAATAAAATCAATTATAAATAATGCTAATTTATATTTAGTACCTGTTGTCGAGAACGTTTATCAATGCCGCTACTTGATGCTTCCTTTAATGAATCAAGTGAAGATGCAGAGGTACATGCAATACTGTTGGCTTCTTTCTGAACATGAGGACCAGGAGCAGCAGATTTACAGCCCTTATTGAAAAAGAATCAGCACATTTTAATACAGAATAATCAGTTACTTACATGAAAAGTAATTTCTCACCTTCATGGATGCCCTTATTATTTTCTTCGCTTTCTTTGCAACTTCATACGATGCATCATCTTGAATTCCCTTAAGCTGCATTTCTTCAACGTTATGTACTAACTCCAAGACCTTCTCACATTTCTTACAATTATACCCTTCACTGCTTGAATTTGTGAAGCATGCATGCAGCAGCAGCTTCAGCATGTTGACGTTGCAATAATCCAATCTGTGTGTGTAACAGAATTCAACAAGTTCCTTCCCTGCACTGCATCCCTTAAACTTATCCTCATCAGCAATTGGGAGTTTCGTTTGAATACCTGAACAAGAAAGACATGTATAAGTTCTAATACATACTTGTAAGTTATATTACATACTTGTAATTATAAAGTAAACGTAGGACCACAAAAATGTAAAAAAGACAAGGAATCATTTAGAAATATAACATTACTGATGGTATGTAAACATTACTGTTCATACTGGAAATATAACATTGATATAACAGTAATGCATTTACCAATGTGTTGTCTTGCATTTGAACCTTCTACACTTGGTTGATCTTCCACTCCATCTTCAATCAATGCTTGTAGTGCATTTGAACCTTCCAAACTTGGTTGCTCTTCCACTCCATCTTCAAGCAATGCATCTGAATCAGTTGGGTTTTGGTCTGCTTCCACAAATTGTGATGAATGTTCATCTGGAAAAGGTTTACTTGACAGTACCATTGCATGTGAAAGGAAAAGTGATTATTATGCGTTATTCTAGTGTTATTCTTATCATCTGCATCATTAAAGTTAATTACTGATTATTACATATACGTACTTCCTGAGTCCAGAATTTCATATTCAGGCAACAACAATTCATTGGTTCGTCTGAACTCAGCAATATCAGCAACACCATGGTCTGGAACTTCCGTATCTAATTTTTTTGAATAAAAGATAAACATTACACATTTCAACCTTGTGTTAATAAAAATATACATACATTCTAATTTTTCTGTACCTCCATCAGGCTGAGGCAATTCCAGGGGTGGGGTTACATCAGCAACCTCAGGAACATAAAGCTGAACTTCTGTATCTACAAACAGGTTGAATGAAAATGTTGACATTACAGCATATCTTAACCTTGTGTTAATAGAAATATACATACATTCTAATTCTTCTGTGCCTCCGTTAGGCTGAGGCAATTCCAGGGGTGGGGTTACATCAGCAACCTCAGGAACATAAAGCTGAACTTCTGTATCTACAGGGGTTGAATGAAAATGTTGACATTACAGCATATCTTAACCTTGTGTTAATAGAAATATACATACATTCCAATTCTTCTGTGCCTCCGTCAGGCTTAGGCAATTCCAGGGGTGGGGTTACATCAGTAACCTCAGGAACAGAAAGTGGAACTTGTGTATCTACAGGGTTTGAATTAAAATGTTAACATTACATATGTGAACATTGTGTTATTACAAGTATACGTACATTCAATTTTTTCTGATGCTGCCTCAGGCTGAGGAACTTCCGAGGGTGGGGTGGAATGAGCAGCATCATGCATTCCAATTTCCGTATGTTTGTCACCTAAACCAAAATAAGTACTTTACGTTCTTTTTTTATTGTGTTAGTCCAAGTACACGTACATCCCAAGCTTTCCACTGCAGTGTTGTTTGTTGGTTGTTGCTCTCCAGGAATGGAATCAGGAGGTACTGAATGGACTGCAGGAGGTCCTCTATCATCACCGTGTCCCATTACAGTTTCACATTCCGTTTCATGTTCTTCTTTGTAAAGCACTCTGCATAACTCCACCAATTCTGTATATTAATTTTAACATACATAACATAATGATAAGGATGATAATAACATTAATCATTTTGTAGAAATGTGAAACAAATTGAAACTCACTGTTTTTCTTCATGCATGAAAGAAATAGAGTCTTCAATACGTCAATGAAGCTATCCAGTTCATTCGGCCTTAACTTGTTCGACGTAATTAATGCGTACGCCTTGTCCGCCTTCTGCAAGTCTCTTTGAATTAGGTGGTACACCGCCTCAGATTCCATATTTTGCACTTTTGGTGAGTGCATGATTGTTGAACAATACGCTGCCAAGAGAGCTCCAATTGTGTTAGCATTGTATGTAGTATCATTAATTTCCGCTGCTGTCACATTGCGGCAAAAGTGAATATTACTCATTTTAGGCATGTTTCACCAAACATACTCAACAAGCCTGAAAAGGATTAAAAAATGAATTACCATTAATGTAAGTACATTACTGTACTTAAAATAATTACCCATAAATAACATTGCACACAACAAATACATTCCCTGCTTAAAGAATTATGCGCGTCACTAATAGGAAGAAGACATGCAGCATATCACACAAGAAACACATTCCTGTATAGAATGCATGGGACACAAACAGCGCGTTGTCGTAGCCCTTAGTTGCCGCGCTTACAGAAACGGCGCAGGGTAAGAGTAAACAGCGCGTGTATACATGTATACAATGCATAGGACACAAACAGCGAGTTGTCGTAGCCCTTAGTTGCCGCGCTCACGGAAATGGCGCAGGGTAAGAGTAAACAGCGCGTGTATACATTCAATTTTGGAGAACAGTGCCTTGCAATCATGAAAGGGCGCGTCGTGAAACTGCAAGTGTGAAAAGCGCGTCGTATAATTGGAGACCTGCGTCATATAATTGGAGAGCTGCACTTTGAATATGTGAACGGCGCGCCAAGAAAGTGGAGACCCTGCAGGGTTAAGTGAACAACTGGAGCGATTAGTGTATGGGAACGGGAATTCGTGGGAAGGGGGATCATATACCTATGAAGAGAAATTACTGCGTACTGTTATATTCGTTCTTCTTGATACAAACAATTGTTTAAAGCTGTTATAAAATTACTTATCAAAACTACAGGCTGAAGACATCTTGAAAATTTTTTGGTCTTAATTTGTTAGTAGTGAGCAAACATGCTGTATTGGCGGGCCAGATGAAAAGCCTCTGCGGGAGAGATGTTGCCCGTGGGCCGTAAATTGGGCACCCGTGACATAGATCGTGTCATTAGTATGTGAAACAGCAGAAAAATTGTGTACTCACCTCATCTTCATAACCCTGCTTCACAGTTCACGAAGCGCTGTTCCCATACACAAATTGCTCATGGTGTTCACCATGCGCAGTTCCTTGTAACGCGCTTTAAACAACGCGCCATTCACTTTGTCCTGCCGGGTCTCCACTTTCTTGGCGCGTTGTTCACATATTCAAAGCGTGTTGTTCACATATTCAAAGCGTACCTCTCCACTTATATGACGCGCCGTTCACAATCAATGTTCACATCCACATATTCTCTGAACGCAATTTCATCAACGCGCCGTTCTAGTCACATTGCCTAGCTTTAAAAAAGAAATGCAGCTTGCGTATGTACGCGATTTTGACAGCGCGCCTTCCACAAGTTCCTTTGTTGGAATTCCTGAAATTAATGAAAGTACACATTACATATAGTATTCATTCCGTGCTTCTCATACTATTAACAATTAAGATGATACACGGATGATTTACAAATGCTCCAAAATTTTTTTTATTCAACATAGGACGCATTTGTACATTCATGAAGCTGTCATAAAATTATTACATCATTATCAACTTCAGTACCTTTTACTTTTAAACCATCAGCCCTCGCACTTTCACTCTGACAATTTTCCAACAACATTTCAATTTGAACACTTATGTAGTCTTAATTTTTATTTATATTTTCAAAAATTGAATCTTCTCCTCCAACTTCTTCCTCTTGATTCTCCATTTCCCCTGAAAGTTTCCTTTTCTTACTTCTTTTTGCTAATTTGAGGGATTCCACTTCTTCTGCCACAAGATGCATTTGACTTTCTTCCTCGGCAGTCAATTTCTCCTTATGAATCCTGCACACAACAAGAAACTAATGAATATAACTTCAGTCAATACACTGCCTTATGTAGACATACTCAGGGTTGGCTAGTTTTCTTGCCAGTTTTTGAAGATACTTGATCCTTTTTTTCAAAGCCATGAATGCCTGTTCTTCTTTCTTGTTTCCTCTTGTCCTCATTTGCATTTCCTCAGGTGTTGCAGGTACTCAGGGTTGGCTAGTTTTCTTGCCAGTTTTTGAAGATACTTGATCCTTTTTTTCAAAGCCATGAATGCCTGTTCTTCTTTCTTGTTTCCTCTTGTCCTCATTTGCATTTCCTCAGGTGTTGCAGGACTTTAAGTTTAAAGGAGGAATGATTATTTTATAGTGTATCATGCATCTAAAAATACATGACTTACATTTTAGTTTCCATTAGTTCTGAAAGGGTCGGCGGATGTACAATTTCTTTGAGTTTAAAAAGTTGTAAATCCTTCCTACCCTTTGGGAAATGCATAAGTTTCCCTTTTCACCATTTCTTGTACACAGGCAACATGTACCTGCGCACAAAGGGTTCCATCCGAAATGTAACCTTAGCAGCAGATCTGAAACCAAAAATAGGAAACATACAAGTGAGGAATTCTTGCACAAAAGTAGTATTCTAAGCTTACTCGCAGTTACAGAAGGTGACCCTCAGCCCGTAAGCTGCCCAAAACTTGAGGGCGCAATTGAGGGACACATTGACATTGAATCCAACATTGAACCCGCCATGGTAGCCTTTAGGAAAAGTCACTATCATGTCCCCAGGTTCTTGAATTGCGACAGTTATCTTTATGTTGTGGAATTTAAACCACTTTTATCTGCTGTCATTGTCATCCCCAACAGTTTTTTGTTAGCGTCATCAGCCTTCTTCAAGTCCAATTGGATCCTCCAATAATTTGGCAAGGAGTCCATGGCCTGAACTTTTTCTGAAAGCATCATACTTGAGCAATATGCGGATAATAACCTGTAAATCATACTTTCATTGTAACAAGTAGTGGAGATTTCTTGCACAGTTATGCTTCTGAAAATGTGAATGTCACTCATATTGCCTTGAAAAATGTAATAAACATATTCTAAAGACATAACCTAATATCACCCAATGCAAAATGTAGCAACGCCGCTCATATCACACAACGAGTCAAGGCACAATACACAATGCAGCTCAGAACACCAACACACAACGCAGCTCAGTAGCTTTTTTCTTAAAACTCTGAATCAACAAAAAACTTCTCACTTTCACTCACTCTTTGAATACTGCAAGAATTGAAAATGTAAAACTTCCCAAAATTCATGCAAGTCTCTTTAGCCTAAAGGTTTATTTTCACAAGCGGAAGGAAACCATCAGGTATCAAAGAATGGAACAAAACTGAGTCAGGAAGCCCTTGACAACTGAAACTTTATACACTCCAGAAGAAGTTACCCCCTCAGGATTATTTATGGGAGGAACACCTGAACAATATCCAGTTTCTTGAATATTTTACAAGCAGTCAACTGTCTGCTAAATGACCAGGGGGGGGTGCATGACTAATTTCACAGTGCAAAAGCAAAATACAGAGCAGGTCCTAAAATCCAACTCAGTTCCAGGAAAAATTGGCAAACAGCTTCACTTCCAAGATTTATGAGCATCACTTTCTGCGCCTTGCACTTGTTAACTGAGAATGGCTTGTTGGAATACTGCACTTTTTGCTGATTTGCTGAAATCAGCAAATGTTGCTAATTCTTGAGGAATCTTGTGGGACCAGAGTTGACCTCAAGTTCCCACAATCTTCATCCCAAACATCATACTGTCCTTCAGAATTTGTTTTTGCTAAATCCNAGGGAAAGGGCCAACGAGGCAAGGGACGTAAGGGAGCCAGATCTCCCTCCAGCAGTCACTTGGTGCGCATGGATAGAAGTATCCGTGTACACTTCACATCCAAGGAGCAGCTAGATGGCTTGCAGATTGAAGGGATCGAGGAAGTCACAGGCAACAAGTCGGGAAACGACTGTTGACCGGACCTTCCACATCCCCGAAGCTTCCGGTCGTCCAACTCTCCACATCCGTCACTGCTGTCCCTGTCAAGTTCCTCATCAACACAGGATCCGAGGTATTGTTGATTTCACCTTTATTTGTAACTAGTGATTCCGTTACGCGAACCCCTGGTTTGACTCTGTCAACCATAGAAGATTGGAAAATACCTGTTTGGGGATCTTTAGACGCAATCTTGTGGTTCAAGGACTTACTCCTTGCCAAGGCAACTCTGTTAATTACCGAGATAGCAGACAGAGCATTCGACGGTATTTTAGGGCATGATGTGCTTAAAGCTGAAAATGCTGGGATTAATTTTGGGAAGAAGTGTCTTATCATGTCCAAAGTCTGTATCCCTTTCTTCTCAGAAAGAGATAAAGGCTTCCACCTCCGAAAGGAAGTATACAAAATAACAGGACAGAAGGAAACATCTTTCCAAGTGTACCCGGTCAACACTTGCACTATACCGAAAAATTCTCAGTCTGTCCTCTGGGTGAGACCTAGCAATGATATAGGCCGCGTTCTTGAAGACCAATCCATCTTAGTTGATAATTTCCAGAATGGGGGAATCATTGTCGCAAAAAGTCTTTCGAAAGTGCAAAAAGGGAAAATCAGGATTCTATGCCTGAACGTCACCGACCGGGATGTACAAGTAACCCCGCAAATGACGGTCAGCGTGGGATCCATCAACGGTATCGCGATGGCCACCCGAATGATGACTGAACAAACCAAGAAAGTTTTTTTGACAACCAAAAGATCAGCAGCAAATGAAGCCAAGAACAAGATACATGGGAAACTAGAAAAAGAAAATCTAGAACAATTAATAGATGAGAATTTAAACTCGTCAGAATGTCCATCTGAATATGTAGAAATAGTCCGAAAAATGCTGCTAAAATATCGAAATGTGCTGGCAGAGAAATCTGACCAGCTTGGACTATGCCCCATGTACGAGGCAGATATACCTCTCGACACGGATTCTCCAATTTACACCCAACAATACCCTATCCCGTACGAGATGAGGTCATTGTTAGGAGAATACGTTGAGGATCTCCTTGACAACGAAATAGTGCAACCTTCCACTTCTCCGTATAACAGCCCGACCTTATACGTTGAGGATCTCCTCGACAACAAAATAGTACAACCCTCCACTTCTCCGTATAACAGCCCGACCTTAATGGTCAAGAAGAAGGATGGAGGATGGAGGATGGTAGTCAATTTCCGTAAGCTCAACGAGCACGTGATAACTGACCCACATCCTCTACCGCGAATTAGTCAGATTTTTGAGGAATTAGGATTGGCAAAGTTTTTCTCTGCCCTCGATCTATTGC